ATCAGGCAGATGACTGCTTTTGAATACTGGATTTAAGTTGCTGCTTCTACTAGTGGTTTTTAATGCATTAGGTTTTGAGGCTGACACTGTACAAATCACCAGAATAATTAAGAGAAAAAGGAAAACCCCTAGGATTTCATCTCAAAGTAATCATAAATAAAGGTTTCTGGTTCTCAAAAAGGCTTGGTAAGGAAATGAAGCACTTAGGATGCAACATGTGACCCTCTTTTTAGTACCTCTTAAACCTACAGGCTAAAATATACTTTGAATTTATTTGAAAATCAGTAGCAGAGACATATCAACATCTCTTCAATGGAAAAAGCAGGGACAATTCAGCTGGTCTGCTAGTGTTCATCAGATGGGTTTTCTCCTGTGTTCTCTCTAAAATTATTATTTTAATTTTTCTATGAAAAAGAACAATAGCCAAAAGCAAAAGACTAAAGGAATATAGTAAATTAAGGAGAGTATTCACTCATATCTCTCTGAATGCTCAGTCAGCCTTCAGGAGTTTGCAATCCAATGACTTCCTGTGCCAGAAGTAATTTCTGTGCATTAATAGCCCTCTATGGATTTCTCTGTCATGAATCCGCCCCCATGGGCACATCTGCAGGAAGGCAAGCTCCATTAGTTCTACCATTCTCAGGAGAGTCAATCTTTAGTTTTCTGTCATCATTGTTGCTATGTCAAAGGTTGATTCTAGATAGCATAATAAAACATTTTTTACTTTAAGAAAACAAAAGCAAAAGCCAACCACTGTGCATCTTCCCTTTTAAGGGTGACATCAGTAGCCCTTTCTTCCTAACAATAATGAACTTGACATTTTTTCTGACAACTTGACATTGTTCCTTTATTCAAGCGGCTTTGATTTGCATGAATATTCAGTGGTTCCCATTGGGCTGGCTTCAACATGTGGGTGGGCCTAATGGTTAATAATATTATCTGGGTGTTTGATAAAAAGATTTAACAAAGAAATGCTTAGAGACTTATTGATGAAGGGGCTTGGAGACCTCAGCAAACATACCAAGTGCCTCAGTACCAGAAACAGAAAACAGCTAGCATGCTGCAAGCTTAGGGCTTGCTCTTTGCTATAGGATAATGGTTGTGTGGTACTTCTGACAGCAGTGCAGGTCACTGTGCCATTGAGGACAAGTGCTATGGCCTGTTGGCAGAGCCTCAAGACACATCTGTGCTTCCTGACAGTAGCATCACTACTTGGGGAAAGTTAACAGTGACCCTGAGATGCTGAGTTGTCACTGCAAAGCTGGCATGAGCTCACAACTGCTCAGCCTCTTGTTTCTAAACCAGGCAGAACAGAAGTGGTGCAAAGATGTGAAACTAAACATTTAATGTCTTGGTTACTGCTGCTTGCTTCTCACATGATGTCTTTTGCAGGCTCTTCGTTTCCCTTTTCTGCATGAAGGTTTTTCCATTTATTTGGGCCAACTGTGCTGCAGGTTCTTGCAATCCTCTCTGGTTCTTAAGTGTTTCTTGTTTTAAAAACTTGCTGGTGATATTGCCAACTGCTGAGCTTGTATCAGCAGGACACCAGGCAGGAGAATGGACAACATGCTGCATGTTTGAGTTTTTCAGGTATCTCTCATCCTGCTGATAATACATTTATCTAAGAACTGGACTGTTGCTGTTCCAGCAGGTATATATGTGTTCAAGACTAATTAAGAAGCTAGTAAGACTGCAGAGATCACAGAAGGAAATTTTGAGGAAAGCATCAAGTTTTTTTTTCAAATGGAACTATTTGTTTCTGGAGGGGGAATAAATAGGTCATCTGTGTAATTTTCCAGTGTCTCTCTTGCCATCTGACTTACTTTGGGAAGTTATTTTATGTTCACGTACACATGTCATTCCTGTCTAGGCCACTGTCTGTAGAGTTTCTTACACTTTTTTATACCTCTTAAACCAAAGGTCAAGTGTTGTCAGCCTGCACCCCATGCAACCTGACAAACCTCTATGCAGACACCAGACCTAGAAGAAAAACTGTGAGTGGGGGAATTACACACAACTGTTCAAAACAAATCCTTCTGGTGGCTTCTTGAGGCAACCTTTTTTCTCTCTTTTTTTTTTTTTTCCCAGTGTGTTGTGGTTTTAAACTAGTAACTAAAAAAAAATTACTTATTTCTTGCTGTGAAATACGGATTAGAACAAGAGCAAAACAGGCATAAAACTTAAAAGGAATAAAGAAAGTTTATTGACAAACTACAGTAATAAGAACACCAGAATAAACTTCCAGAAAAACCTTTTTTATCCCCTATCTACCCACTATTCCCTTGTTCACATGACAACAGAGACAAAAAGTTTGGAACTTTGGTGGTTAAAACAGTCCCAATTCCTGCTACAGTCTTTTCACCAGTCTTTGTAGAGAAACAGAAGTTTCTTTCTGTTAATTTATGGAGTTTCTCACAAGAAAACTACTTTTGTTATAGTTTTCCATTGCCCTGATGTCAGCCGCCCAGAGCTGCTGTTATCAGAGCTGACTCCTCCCATTTCACATCACTCTGAGGTGTGTATGGGCCATGAGTCTAGGAATGGCATTTTAAGGATGAGTTATTCAAAAGCAAAAGTCTTCTTCATCTGTCTCTGTGAGCTTCACCAGAAAACAGTTTTTCTCATTGCCCCCCAAGGCTTCAAATTTTCGCTTCACTGTTTCCAGCACTTCACTATATCACAATCACTCTACTTTGTACTCGAAATTTTCACTTTGAACACTCTATTCCTCCCTATATACGGTCATGAATTAAAGGAGTTCTTTCAGGACTTTATTGTCCATCTCCATAGCTTTAACAGAAAAATATTTCATCTTAATTAAAGCATCTTCTTAATTCTCTACCTTTCCTGAAGCTTCTTTTCTTCCTTGTCTCTGATAGTTTTGTAAAGTCTCTTTACATGTTGATGACTCTCTTTTTCTCTCTCTGGATAAAAGGATTAATCTGCAAGTCTCATCTGGGAAATGAAAAGTTTAAAATCTTGCCCAGGCTTTGTAGATGGCTCTGTGACCTCTGCTGGTGCAGGAGCTGGAGCTGTCTTCGATAGAAGATTCTTCATAGCTGTTCTGGAAAGTGTAGTCGCCGCTTTAGCCCGCTGCAGGTCCAGAGCTTTTTTCTCCTTCTTTACTCGGCAGTCCCCGGTGAACTCCGTCACTGCAGCCGAGCCAGGAACCGGCCCGGCCCAGCCAGAGCCCGGGGCAAGCCCCACCGGCCCCATCTCCCGGCCGGGAGACACGGCAGGCCCAGCCCATCCCCCGCCCGGGCCGCATGGCCGGGCGGAGAACGGGAGGCCAGCCAGAGGTCTGCTACCTTTCACAGCCAGGAGACAAAGAGACCCAAAGTGCCCTGACTTTACATCTTAAGGTAGGGTTCACAAGTTGATCTCCCTTTTCAATGGTTAAAATTGCTGTCAATTCCCAGTAATGACCAATAATTGGTCAGGAGAAGAGACTAGTTTCAGTCCCCAGCAACTTCAACTTCCTTAGCTCTCACAACCACCTAAAAGGTAAAGTCACCCCATGACACAATGGTAGTTGCATGATGAAGAAGGGAAGAAGGGCTTGGTTCTTTTATGTCACTAAAACTATATACGAATTTTTTTTTTGGAGTTGCCTCACATTACAGCAACAATTCACAGAAGGAAGCAAAATGCAACACAACATGTGTAGTCCTTAGCCCTTCTCAGAGCACAGGCTTTCTGCTCTGTCTCATAATTTAGAATTAATAGATTATTATGTGACTCTGAGGTGTTTTAAGTTGCTTTCAGTTATGAGTAAATCAAGCTATTTCTGAGAATGCACTATCAAGCAGTGTTTATTGCTTAGGAAAATGTGTTGATTGTTGAGCTGTTCCTTGGTCTTAGTGTGAGAATTAGTGGCTCTAGAGAAAAGAATAATGATCCCTGTAGTTAAGCTGCTGCTTGCGACCCTGGAAACAGTTTTTTAGTTCACAGCCTTCTATAATATTATATAAAGTATGTAGAGCACATTACATCAGTAAAATGGGACAAAGCTTCTTTGCTTTGCAGGCTCAACGTGCCAGTTTGTTTGGTGGATGTATAAACTACAACTTTTTTGACAAAACAAAAAACTGATAAAATCTGAGTGTGATTTCTTTTATTATCTGCAGTGAAAGGTTTATCAGTAGTCTTTAATATTAGGATAGGGACAATATTATTTAGTATCTGCATCAGATACTAATCTGATGAGATGTATCTTTTCAGAGATGATGAATTTTATGTATTCTTGGTTACACTTTGCATTCAAAGATAATCAACTGTCAAGTGAAGTGTGAAATGTTTAGTGTCTGTGCTGAATAGTATTTGGTCATTAATTTTGTTGGCATGGGAAGGTATAGTTAGATGTGGGCACTGTTACACACTTAGGCTAGTGACTTCTAAGTCTTTCCAAGGACAATTGACACAGCATTGGGCATCATGTTAATCTGATGTGTTAATTCACATTTGTAGTCCCAGTGTGGGGATATATTGGCCAACCTGAGTAGTCTCGGTCTCCTATAACACACCAGATACATTCCTCCCCAAACCAGGGGGGTCCCCTGCAAGGGATCTGTATAATTTACATGTGTATGTATACTTGCTGCTCTGGGACTTTGGCCATTGGAACATCCCATCTGGAAACATTTCATTTTCCTAATGAATATGTCATAAGGCAGTCTTAATTATTGTCTGTCTAGGCCTTCTCTAGTTAGATCTTACGCTCCAATCTCTTCCACATTTATCTATATAATCTACCATGTGCATGTGCAACTTTCTTTTATTGCTGTAGATGCCCTTTTCTTAGAAGCAATATGCTGGCTTTTGGCTTTTCTGACCTTGCAGCCCTTTGGTCTCTAACGTACAAGGTATCCTCTACTAAAAAGGAAACAGCAGAATCAGAAGTGGTTGTAGTTTGGGGTTTTACCAGCCAGAGGTGGAAATGCCAGTCACATGAACTTGCCTTAAAGGGGTCTGTGGGATCTCATGTTATTGTCTCTTTGCAGGGTGTCATCCAAGCATACAAGAGTGGCATAACCCTCCAGGGAAACACCACTAGCCTGGGCAGGTGGGACTACAGTGGGTCTTTCTTCTTCTCCATCTCTACAATAACAACCATTGGTAAGAATTCCCTGCTTACAGGGCCACCTCAGAGGTGGGAAAAGAGTGGGAATGAGAACTTGTACTCAGATGCTCCTCCAGCCCCATTTGGTTCCCTGGAGCTTGCAGTAGACAGGTAGGGAAGCACCCATGAACCCAGCCTAGGAGTGCTTTTTCAGTGCCTGTGCAGTAAAGATCTCTAACTGATCAGACACAGGGATAATTAGTTCAGGACATATTCCTACTAAGTTACATGGCTTCTGGGGCCTGAACTTCGTGGTGCTGCACTGCCTGGACTTTCCCAAATCCTGTGCACTCTGAGAGGTCTGTGCATTGAAATGGGCTTTTCCTATCACAAGAACAGGAATGATTTTGGAAAATTCTTAATACTGGCTATTGCATCTTCAGAGACTATATTTATAAATTATTCCTCCTTATTACTACCTGTATTAGATAAGGACCTGCTTGTTCAAGTGAAAGTTAAATAGCTGGATAAACATTACAATTCAGTTGACTCAGGTTTCAGCAAATGGATAATGCAAAGCCATGAAGAAATTATGAAAATAAGTTGGGGAGAGAAAATGGAAAAAATAAAATGTACTAGGTAGAGAGCTAGTTAAGGCAGATGCCATTAATTATTGTCAGTTCGTGTCCCCTGTCCCCAAAACCATTAATAATTTGCCCAGATGTCTTTTTTCTTATGGTGTGACCCAGTATTAAAAAAAAAAAAAAAACATGGAGGGGAAAGTATGTGGAGAAATGGTTGTTGAGTATCAAAAATCCCTCATGGGTTTCTTGATTTGTTAGCTCTCTTCAATTTTAAGTATATTTTTAATTCAAGTATTTTCTTTTTGTACCCGAATGGAACTTCTTTTGATTTCTGATTGGTTTTGAAGATACATTGGCTCCAGAACACTACACCCCCAAGAATGAGCTCAAAGAAAGAGAGGGTTTGTGGGTTTTCTGTGGGGGTGGAGCTGAGTAGGTGGTGGTGTGTCATCTTCCCGTGACTCAGTATATCTTTCTGCCCTGCTCTTTTGCACATGCATTGTTCAGGTTGGGAGCGATCTTTCAGTATGTTGCACTACCAGGCAAGGGTTGCACCTGATGATGGCAGTAGAGGCTCATTAGACAGGATTACACAGGCTGTGGGTTTCCAGCGGAGCCTGGTCAGTTCCTTCTAGCCTTTGGTACAAAGCAGCATCTGCTCAGTGCTGCTTTGCTTGCCTCACTAGTGAATCCTGATGAGTTTCTAAGCCATCAGAGTGACTGTTTCACCACGGCCAATTTAACTTAATGATATTCAGGAAGAATCAATTTTATCATGTTAAAATATAAGGGGATGTTGTGATGTTGGTAGACGTCTAGACTAAGCATTTCTGCTCTTCTACTAAGAGTAGAGGCTAAGCTACTCTTCCCAGCTCTGCCCTTCTCCCCTCTTTTTTTAAGTAAACTCCTTGCCCTGATGGCTATAGAGGAGGAGGACAGGACAGGGCATGACACGACTGAGTTGACAGCAGAGGCAACTGAAAACAACCAAATCTTACAGCGCTTTATCTCATAATTTTAAAGCTGCTGCTAAGACTCTAGAGCCTTGTTAATAATTTTTCAATTGTGGATTTGAGGATGCCGTACAAGCCACTCTGTGGAGAAAACTTCAGATGACTGGACCTTTTATTCTGATTTTTCAAGTTAAATTGTTAGTTGCATACAGATTACTGTCATAACACTCTGTTGATAGCAATATATTGTTTTTAATACGAACTACAGACTTTGAAGAGAAAACTACAGATGGTTTCACAGATCCTTACCCTGAGTCTGTTATCATAATCTCTCTTTATTGCGCAAGTTCTTGAGATAATGAGGGGTTCAGCATCACTGAGGATGTGGTAAGCATCACCACAGTGTAACTGGGAAGGATAATTGATGATGTCAAGTAAAGAGACAAGCTCCTTTCCAAAGAACTCAATGAAGTTCAAAGGGATGATTCACAATGGGAAACTTCATGTATAAGGTATGGCAATGAGATAAATGACAATTGAGAAGGGTTCTTGAGGATTTGAAGAGGTTTTAGTGTTCTTACCTGGCAAGGAAGGGTTCATCTCAGGCTGATTATGGAACCAATATGTCCAGCTGCACAGGATTAGCCGATAGGAGTTAAAACCCAAGGCATTCTGGCAAATGAGTTCAGGAAGGGTAAAGTTAAGATGATAATGCAGAAGAAAGATTCTCAGGAATTTAGAGATATATAAAGATTTTGAAGAATATAGATGGCCTCTATTCCATGTGTTCCAGCTGCTGGAAGTCCTTTGGCCTGTTTGTCTCTTCCACATTTTTTCTTTGCAATTAATACTAGCCATGCCTTGATGGCTTCTTATGCGAAGTAACATCTTTATGACTCTTGTCCTTAGCATTACCAAAACCACTATCACTTTTACCTTCATCACTTCCTTTCCTTTGAGATGCTCTTTCTGTTCTGCCAGCTTCTGTATTCTACTTTAGGTGCTTTAGCCCTCCTAAGAAGGCTAGGTATATTTCTCAAGTTCTTACCAGAACACTTTCTCACTGGGATACAGGAAGGGAAGTTAACTTCTTTCCCCATTAATATCAACCGAGGGGCATTAGTTTCTTTCCCCACTGACAAGGTTTAAATCCCCATGTCTCCTGTTGCAGCATCTTCTGCACCGTATCCTTCTTCCATTGAAGAAGCCTCATCTATTTTCACTACTAGTGATTAAAAGCAGCATGTGAACTTTGCTTAAAAACAAAGTGAGTTCTAACCTGCAGGCTGGACATAGTTGCTGCCTCAGTCACAAATGTTTAAAGAACAGATATGTATGAACTAAAATATCTTGTTTAAAGAAGCGGCCCAAAGCCTATGTAGTTTTTGGCTAGTCTCATATTTTGAATGGAACTACATTTATAACTTTTGGGATGGGCAACCCTGGCCACCTGCTGATTCCTTCTCCCCACTGTTACACTTCTGTGCTTTCCTCATTGCTATCTTTGACATATATTATGCTAGATTTTATATGTTACCTCATTTTCTGCAGGTTTTTCCATGAGAGCCCTTTCTCCAATGGCTTGAAGGGTCATCTTCAGAGTTTCCGTAGAGCTGTAGTACTAAACATGATTAAAGAAAGAGAAGCTAACTTGCTGCTGGTTTTATCTGTCAGACTTCTTTATCCCTTGCCGACACCAAGTCTCTCCTTTCTGTGTTTACTCTTCTCCTACTTGGTTTGGACTAACAGGGCAGAGGTCAAAGCAAGTTCAGAGTGGGGCACAAGATCAAAGTTCCTGAAGTCAAAGAACCACAGGGTGGTGTAATTTCAGAGAAAGTGCTAGGGAAACGCTCTTTCTGTAGCCAGTGATGAGGCTGACTCGTCTGTGCAAGCCTAAGAGAGAAAGAAGTATTGTCCTCTCTAGCCTGAATGTCCCACCTAATATTGGGTGGATGGATGCCATTGCCTAGTACTGTATTACCATTTTCAGGTGGCACAGCCACCAGAATGCAGATGTGTGAATTTCCAGGGCCCTTCTTTAAATATAAAATGGGACAAGTAAACCATCTCACCGTGAAGAAAAGAAGGGAGATGCCTTCTTCTTGTTCTCTGGTTAGCACAGTACATAGCTCCTAAAAGCAATACCACAAAGACTGGGAGGTAACAACAGAGGCATGGATCAGACTATTCATTACTCAGTGAGTAATGGTATTAACCACACTGTTAGAGATATTTAGTAGTTGCCACAGAGGATTCCAGTGCAGGGAATTAAACAGTAACAAGTTCAGGGCTATGAAATCCTGGTAGAGTAAAGCTTTGTGTCAGCAAGAGTTTTGTGAAGACTCTGACCCTCTGCAGTACTGCCCAGGGTCTGGTGGAGCTCCTGAAAAATGGTCAGGTTCCTGCCCGTTGCTTCCTGACAATATGTTGGGGAATTCAGTTAAACTAACTTGATGTGTCAAAGTGGTTAAAATACAAAATAACAGCTTATTCTTTCATATTTGAATCCTCTGTAAACCTCAGGAACCTCCTGTGTAGGGGAGTTCTCTGTTGCAAAACTGACACTGTTGATGTGTTTTTTCCCTGCCCTGTGACAGCTGGCAGAGCTTTTTTACAGGGTTGGCCAAGTAGGATGTGGCATAGTGATCCATGGGAGGTCACTGGTAGGTTTGGGGACAGCCACTCTTTGAGCTACCCAGCATCCTAGGATCAGGATATCAGCTATCCAGCTATCTGAGCTAGCAGCTTCCTTTGAGCTATCTCCTGAGCACTGGAAATGTGGTCTGCTTTCCCAACTGCATGCCATCTCACCCAGCTGAGACTAAGCCTACTATACAGCTTTCAGTGTATGCACAGCACTAATCAAAGACTGCAGTACTCATCTGGAACATTTTTTTTCACTCACTGAAGGAATGTGTAACCAAATTTTACTCTCATCTGGAACTTCATAGAGCTAAAACTGTTAATAACTTCCCTAGTTCAGCCTGCCAGGGTCCCAGTGAGCTTCCCTATATAAGATGCAGTTCCTGAGATTCTACCAAATTCTTCAAATGTTTGGTTTGTTCTAATCATAAAGCTGAAATGCCAGTGTAAGCAGTGTGGTTGCTTGGGGCTTGTGTCCCTTATATAGAAGCTCCATGCCTGTAGCATCTTCCCTCTGTGGATGAATTTGGAATAACTATGACTTCCAGGTCACTATGCCAGGTGTCCTTAGCTGTGTCCAGCTGTTAAGTGTTCTTGAACTTAGTGCAGACTTGGTGGGTATAATGTGAAATCTCACAAGAAGGTTGAGAAGCCATTAGCATGTTAACATGTTTTATTTAGTTATGGAGACATTTGAAGTATGAGGGAGGATAGGAACCCCTGACTTGATGATCTTCAGGTGAATGTAGATGGTGCCAAATGACCCCTGAAAATCCTAATGCTTGTAAGATTATGGGGTAATTCAGGCTTCCTGGTACCTCAGGAGGTCTCCACTGCAACTGTCTGCTGAAAGAAGTCAGCTATGAGATCAGAATGGGCTACTGAGCACTTTGTCAGGGTCACCTGCCAGTTAAGCTTGGGCCATGCTCTCATTTTCAGGAAACAGAAAAACATTATTACCATAAGGCTGTGTGTGAGGGATCAGGAGGTATGTTTATGGTTTTTCCACTTTGAATTACACAAAGATGTCTTTTCTATCTAAAGTGAATTTTCATATTTTATTTTTTTTCCCTCAATGAAACATTTAAATTTTTCATGAGAAAAACCTTTCATTTCCACTGGATTAAAACATCCAGATTACTTGTAAAGAACACAAGGGAAAGAAAAGTTTAGATTTCCTGAAAAGTGTTAGAGGACAAGCTAGTTGTGGGAAGAGCTGGATGGCTTAAGGATTTAATTTCCTCCAGTGCCTGGGAAAACAGAAATGTGGCTCACTGGACATCACCCCAACTGCTGAGCAGAGTTTTTATAAATATTTAAATGTGTAATGCAAACTAAAGTAATTCTGGCATTGACACCCCTCAGTGAACTGCATGGTGGATACCTGGCCCCCACGCTTAGATGAATTCCTGGTTATTCAAAGCTAAATACTGTCAACAAGAGCAGTCTGTACATTTGGGATTAGACCATGTCTGTAGGAAGTGATGGCTTGTGTACTATCAGGTAGGAGAAAAGATCTAATAGAACAAGAAGAATTGCTTCTCTAACCAGTAGGTTTATTGGTGGTTTTAGCACTCAAACACATTTTTTGGGGAGATTTGGTTTTATGCTAACTGTGTTTTCTCTGCAGATGAAATTTTTTGGTAAATTTTCAGATTTTTTTCAGCCTATGATATATACTTTTTATTCTAAGCACTTTTTGATGAAAATACTCTTTTATGTCTGGACAGTGAGAACAAAGTTCTCATTGTGATAAGCAGGAAGTTGCAGCTGCCTCAGTTAACTGAGGACACTGAAAATGTTGTCTTATGAATTAAATGATCTTTTACTAATAGGTCTCATCTTAACAAGTCTACAGAGCTCCTGAATCCCCTATGGACAGGAATGTAATGGGAAAGCAGGAAAATATCCTGAATTCCTTAATATGTACAACTGCAGCACATGAGTTAAAGCACATGGTTATGAGCATTTAGAAATAAAACTATTTGTTTTGTTTCTTCCAAAGAAGCTTAACTTACATTACACCTTATTTCTAAATAAGAGAAGCTATACATGCACTTAATCCAGCTGCTTCAGTGGAAACACACTTTGATGTCTCTGCAGTTTTTGGTGATCATTTCTCAGTGTCTCTTTGCTCAGACATGTACTAGGTGACATCCAAGCAGCAGGCTCATGAGGGATGTGACACAACTGTCAGTGTAGTTTTAGTTTCTGAATCTGGTTCAGATTTTCTAATATGTAGCTAATGATGGTTTAAGACACCTGTTAATACTGAAGAGGGTAAATCCTATTTTCCCATTCCTGCTTGAGTTTTATAACAGTTGAGGCTTATACACAATTAGTTTGGTATCTCCTTGTCTAGTGCAAAGTGGATGTAACCAGACAGGAATCAATTTCTGGCCATTTTGCATAATATAAGGTCTCCTATTCTATTTGATTATACTTTGTATCCTGTACAAAAAGCTGGTGGGACATGGCTTTTTTTGGCATATGTGCAGCAACTGTGTACCAAGTCTTCAGAAAATTTTATCAAGCTGCTGAGTCCAAGGGAAAAAGGAGCCAGAGAAATCAAATGCAAAGTAGATCTGGTGTTTGGAGGGCTGGGTTTACAGTGCACATTAGACCTTCCTATATCAATCAACTTGCCATTCTAAATTAATTGTAACATAAAAGTTAAGTTTAGGTGCTCTGCCATCCAATACTATGTGACATCCCCACAATTCTGAAGGCTGCTGTGCTTCACAGAGACCAGAGAGCATCGGCCTTTCTTCTCTTATGTTTTTCTGCAGAGAAACTTAGAAATCTGTGGTTAAAAGGACTGCTCAAGACAGTACACAATTTTAAAACTTGATATAGAAGGAAAAGAAAGGGAAAGGGTTGGGGGGAAACCACCTTGGGAATAACTGGCCATAAATGTATATGACTCATCATCAGCCTCCAGCTCTACAGTAAATGCCCCCCAGCACTTTCTCCTTGGGCCAAGTCAGAATAGAAAAGTGGAACTAATCCACTGAAATGTCACAGCCAGCTTGAAATGCATCACACCAGACACATGTTTCTATAATTTGCTTAGAAGGGGTCATCTACCAGATGTACTTGCCTACATGTCTCATTTACCATACGTGTTAGTTTAGAAATGGTGAAAGATGGCAGAAATTAGCAATCATTGTGCATTAACATTGCAAAGCTGCTCACAAACAAAGCAGAAGTAGCAATGGCATGGTCTGACTTTAGCCCCTTCTGTTTGACTGTATTTCAAAACATGTAGTTACATAACAGCATCCCATTCTTTCTGTGAGATGCTCTCCCCCTTCCCAGGGACAGGCTTCTGGGGTTCCATTGGGGGCATACTGTGTGCCTAAAATTATTGTAGGGGATGTCCTCCATATAATAAAATTTGGGATATGTGGGGGAATATACTTAGGAATAGTTTGCCCCCAAAATCTTTCTCTGGGTGTTGTTTGCTGGCACATATGGACAACTAATTGTGGAGTTGTCCATGGGGAGAGATTTTTGCTTGCAAAAGCTTGGCACAGAGTGTGTAGATATCACCAGCTCATAGCTGCACACATTTCTGTGTCATCAGTCAGTGGCTTATTGCAGCTGGCATGTGACAGAAGTTAGTGAAGAAATGGGAGTCTCGAGTAAACCACAGTACTCTCACTTATCTGGGATACAGAGCCCAACCCTGGGGCCTCTCCCTACTGGGCACTACTCACTTGCCCTGAGGCTACAGCACCCAAAAGCAGGGTAGCAAGGCAGCAGTGGAGGGAGTGCCTCTGTGCTTGCTGTGCGGATGGTTGGGCAACGCTGGGAGGAGATAGCATTATTTGTAGCAAAAAGATAATCTCTGTGGTCAAAGATGTGGCTGTACACCAACCTCTAATGAGCAGAGGTGATTTTGGAATGTAGTCAAGGCCATAGGTCTCTGACTGGCTAAGACACTGTTGAAATGCTTGTGGTGTATGTTAGTTCTTCTGTCATTTTAAGCATCCTGTGAAATATACCCTAGTTAAATCTGACTTTCTTATGGCAGAAAGAACTGGAAATTACAAGTGCAAGTCTGAAAATTTATGGGATGTTTTATAAAGAATGTGTGGGGAATGAAGATGAGTGATTTTGAAGCCAGAATGATCTGAGGATACAAGCAAAGCAGTGATTGCAAGGCAGGACTTTTTATTAGATCACTTCCTATGACTAGAAGAAAGAGGCAAAATTTAAAACATTTTTTTTTCTTTAGGTCTGAAATTGAAGTATTTTACATAGGTTAAATATAATTTCTCTGGGTATATTGACTCTAGACAATAATTTTGACAATTTAAGGTGTATTTGGAACTTGTGGTGCAAAAGACTATAAGCAAGGAAGCAGTGTTAAGCTCACTAGTCCTGTGGAACAAAGGTAGAAAAGGGTGGTTGTTATAATTAAAACACTATTGTTGTGATTCAGAGACCATCTGACAGCCATGCAGCATCATTTACCAGCAAAGCCCATGCCAACAATGCTTACAGAAATTGAACTAAACAGAAGGTTTGCATTTACGTTAGATCCCAGCCAGGGCAGTAGGTAGGGGAGAGGAAATTCACTGATAAATGGAAAAGGAACTAAGCAAAATTGGCAGGGAAAGAAATGGTGTTTTCCAGCCTGCAATAGGATGTGATAAACAATGGATGTAACTTACAGTTATTTATAAAAAAGGTCCTTTTAGAGCAGTGACCCTCTCACCTAGCTTCTGTAGAAGATGGAGGTTCACCCCTCTGTGGACCTAATTTTCTGAGTCTGAGAGAGCTTCCAGCCTGTCAGTGGCTGATCTGTCCCCAAGGGAAAGTATCTTGAGAACATTTCTCTCTCGAGGACCAGTTTTGTAAATAACTTCATTTTCTCAAAACAATTCTGTACAGCTGTGCTGAATGTGTTTTCTCTTGTTCCACCAGTGGGACAAGAGAGGTGGTGTTCCCTTTACCAACCATGTTAAACCTGTATCGTAACACCCTATAAAGAAGATGAAAAGTTCAGAAATAAACCCTTCCGATGATCTACTCTCTGCCTGTTGCATTGAATCCACGCTCTTTGTTTAATGTCCAACAGTGACACGCCTCCAGGGGGAAGGGGTAAGCAGTAAATATTTTGGATTTAATGCTTTGTTCCTTCCTGTCTAGGCTATGGAAACCTGAGCCCCAGCACTGCGGTTGGGCGAATCTTCTGCATCGTGTTTGCACTTTTTGGGATCCCCTTGAACCTTGTACTCCTGAATGAAATTGGACAGCTCATGCTGCTTGGGGTTCAGCATTGTGCTCATTGCCTAGAGGAGGTATTTCACTGGCAGGTAAGCAGTATGGACAGGCATATCTCAAAGAAAAAAAAAGACAGAGGACATTGTCTGGTATTTGAGATCCTATGACTAAAGAGAATAGCCTGGCTGACTATTTGACCAAAAAGGCAATAATACTCAGGAATAACTGGAAGCAAATAAATTTATTTTACGACAGCCCTATGAGATGTCAGATAAGGTTGTTCATTAATTGAAGGAAATTCTGTGATGAATTACTTCCCCTACAGTAGCAGTAGTGATAAAACATGTGAGCAATGCACAATCCTAGACTATCTGGTCAGTTTATCATCAGTTTTAGATAGAATTGCATGCAAAAGTTACATGGGAACATTTGTGGAACAGGCTTTAAACTGGCATGAATTTAGGACTTGTGAAGGTGATGCCAGATTTGTGTTGGCTGGGTGTTGAAGTTTAACCTCAGGTAAGCACTACGCAATTACTCATCCCTTCCCAGAGGGATGGGGAAGAGAATCAGAAGAGTTAAGAATTTATGTGTTGAGGTAAAGAGTTTAATAAGTAAAGAAAAAGCTGTGCACACAAGCAAAACAAAAAAGGGAATTTGTTCACCACTTTCCATTAGCAGGCAGGTGTTCAGCCATTCCCAGAAAAGCAAGACTCCATCATGCATAACACTTACTTGGGAAGACAAACTCCATCACTCTGAACATTCCCTGCTTCCTTCTTCCCCCAGCTCTATATGCTGAGAATGATGCCATATGGTATGGAATATCCCTTTGGTCATTTGGGCTCAGCTGTCCTGGCTGTGTCCCCTCCCAAATTCCTGTGTACCCCTGGCCTAGCCACTGGTAGGATGCGATGAGAAGCTGAAAAGGCCTTCCCACTGTGCAGGCACTAGTCAGCATCAATAGAAACACCTCTGTATTACCAACAGTTTTCAACACAAATTTAAAGCACAGCCCCCTACTAAGGGGAAGAAAATAACCATCCCAGCTAAAACCAGCACACATGTGGGACAGACACACCATTGTAGTGGAATTCAGTGAATGTTCGTATGCATTTGTGGAGTCCATGATCATATCATCATCATTTCCAACTGGAAACCAAGCTGGACTTTCCTTGTTGCACTGCTTGTGACAATCTTTGGGTTTTTTTTTTTTTCCCCTTCCTGTTTTACTAGAATAAGGCTTCCTTCCTGATGAAGACCTGTGCACTGGTAATTGGCTTGTTATTGTTCCTCCTGCTACCTCCCTTGTTATTCTCTGACAAAGAAGGCTGGTCTTATGAAGAAGGCTTCTACTATTCCTTCATTACCCTCAGCACTATAGGGTTTGGAGACTATGTGATTGGTGAGTAGCTCACGTTTCATTGCTTTCACCTACTGAATAGCAAATCCATGACATACAAAACTCCCCTCTTGGCAGTTTGGCACGAGTAGTAATCCCCAGAACTGATGATCAGTATGTTGTGGGCATTCAACAGGTTGGAAAAGATGCCATTTCTGCCATAGCAACACCACCTGTGGAAGAACAAAGACATTGTTTCCTAATCATTCTGTGGGATTGAAATGGCCTGTGCCTTGAATGACTACACCACTAGGCAGGAGTGCTATGGTTTAATCACAGTAGTTGCTGAGGCACACTTATTACACTCCAGTGCATCAACAGCCATTAGTTTTAAGCCCCTCTGCAACATCATTAACAGACAGGGACTGTTTCTTCTGTCAAAACCCTACATAACTGCATTCTAAAAGGCAGCTTAAGTCACTTAGATACAGACTGTCAGGCGCTACCTAGTTTTAGATGCCAGAACCCTTTGCTGGAGGAAATGGGATTGGATTCATACCCACTGCATTTGCTGATATGCAGGACACACCTTTCTGATAAAGACTTTCTCATTAAAAACAAACTGATTATAGAAACACATGCACCCTTGAATTCCTGGGAGACTGAAAGAGTAAAACATCTTGTTACGGATTTGCTATTTTCTTCCTAGCACTTTTTTGATGCTTAGACGACTTAGTGGTAGTAATTTTAGGACTTGTCTGTAATGCATCAAAGTTATGATTAGAGCTTGTGTAGGCACACGTAAATAAGTTAGAAATAAAGTTAGCTTGGGGAAGGGTAGGCAGATAGAGTTTGACAAAAGCTGGGTCAGCGCAGCATTTTTCTATACTGATTTTGCAGATTATACTGAACTCTGTGCTACAGCAGCTTTACTTCTCTCAGTTTCTGGTAATGCATTTGGTATTCGTTCCTCTTCCAGGTGTGCTTTCACCTGTGTAATACATTTGTAGCTGGAATACTGCCACAGATACACTAGGTTTGGTATGGGAATAATTGAATATGTCAGTTGTGGTATGTAGAGGCTAAACAATTTTGCCTTACAATCCTGTATGTGTGGTTTATGCCTCAAAAATAAGATTCAAGTGATAATCATGCTGGGGAACCACGAGTGTGCTACAGAGCTGGGAGGAATCCCTGACCTACTATGAAGTATCTATGCAGAAAAGGATCTGGCAGTCCTAATGGGCACCAAGGTGTCCATGATCCTGCAGAGTGTGCCTCTGTGGCTGTGAAGGCTGGTGATAATTTCAAACTCTCTTCCAAGGTTTGGTTGTTCTTGGAGGTTTTAGGACTACTTAGGCCTCTTTTCTCCCACTCTCAGAGACTCTCTTGCTTATATCTGGTTTAACAAGATACGTACAGTGGTACATAAAACCTGCTTACCCCTCTGCCTGCAGGAACCCCTGTTACATGCTAATAGAATATTGTGGTGCTGAGTGGTAAGTAGAGAAACTAAACTGTGTGCTTGAAAGTGAGTAATTTTACTGTGACATAGATGTAATTTGGGAATTTTTTTCTTTCTTATGAGTGGTATTTGCAGTTCCTAAGGACTACTAGGCTGTTACTGACACATCATGAAACATACTTACAACATCTCTTACTACATGCTAAGTAGATGGCGTACTTGTGTTTTATGTAGAAATCACTAATATTCAATGATATTTCAACTGTCTTTGCTTTGCGTGTAATGTCTCATTTGAGGCATTCTTGATCCAATGTAGAAATATTTTGGGTGATTCTGTTGTAGGGATGAACCCAGATCGCACCTATCCAAGCTGGTACAAGAATGTAATCTCTCTGTGGATCCTCTTTGGGATGGCCTGGCTAGCACTGGTTATCAAATTTTGCATCAACATTCTAGAGAGCTCCAGTGACTTCTGTAAATGCCACAAGCAGAACACAGAGATGGCAGAAGATTTCATGGATGGTAACAAAAATAGTATGACTGGACTTCAAAATGCAGAGATCAGCAGTAACAAAGACACAAAAATGAAGGAACCAGTTGAATCCCACTCTTACACAGCTCCTACAGAAGCCCTCTAGGGAAGAAAAATACCCTCGGTGTTCTGTAGGTTTTAGTGCACCAAAGATGAACCATTTAGAAATGTGTAAGTGGAGCTGCCCTGACCCGTGAATAGAGTGAATGTTTGCTTATTGAGCTTGAAATGCTTTTATTCTGAATTGAGCAATGACAGAATGTTTCATTTGCAGCACCACCAAGTATTACCTATAGGATTTTTATCCAAAAGTAGATTTATGGGAATATTACCTGCTTTCCCACCTCAGTCTATGAAGTAATCTTTGACATCGGTGAGCAACATTAGCTGCTGTCCATTTCTAAGCATGATTCCTGCAGCCTCTAGTTATATGTATGGCATTTTGCAAATGCCACAGCCATGAGAGCAAGTGCCATTTAATGCAGGGAACAAATACCATATTGCTAAAAGAAATTAAAAGCACTGTTTAAAGCTATCTGGCAGTCGTGGCAAATGTGCACCATCACCTATATAGTCGTACTTGTGAAAGGTGGTAACAAGGTGCCTGATAGAAACAGATCATTCCATTTTTTAAAATTTCTATATCAAAGGTCTGCTAACAGAGATTGGGTAGGCTATTCCTTACTTCAGAACTTGTGGGTTCATCCTTTGAAATATTTTGCAGACCAAATGTCATCAGCTAAACATGACAGTTCATTTAGATAGATCTGTATTTTGCCACATCTTGGAAGTCATAAAAGAAGGACTAGAGGCAATTTTAAGAGTCAGTGGTTCCAACCTTTTCCTTTTGCCAATATTAACAAAGGCTACTTCAATCTAGAAACAGACTGATTTTTCTTCAGCTATGATCAATTGATGTTGTTGTGATGAACTTCTCATGTCATGAATGATTAGTGTACCTGTTCTAACATATTACATATAATCACAATTGGTTTTCATCTGCAGAATGCCAGACATAGTTATTAGACCTTTGTGTCTGTCATGAAACTGACACAAAGGAATTTGGTTGGGTGTTTTTAGTTCCATTAAATTCTCAAAAATCTTTTGATACGTTATGCTATTTATAAAGGTGCAACAGAGTCTAACTCCTGGTGCTGTTTGTATTCCATTACCTGTTCTTCTCATTTTGTTATTCCTGTTGTGCTATTTGTATCCTGTGCATTAACTTTGGAAACTTTACCATGACAGCAAACCAGAATGAAGCATTTGGTTGAGCCTTCAGCTTTTGCAGTGAACCAAGATTCCACGGGGTAGTCAGAGAAAAGACTGAAAACAGAGTCTGTCGGAGTGTGGGACTGAGGAATTAGAAATATCCATAGCTATATCCACAGAAACTGAGTGAAAAGCGTACAGTTTTCAGGAGTAAAAGTTCTGAAATATATATTGTGAAAAATGTGTTTCCAGAAGAGGCCAGTCTGCGTGTTGGTATCTGGTAGAATTGATTACAGGAAAAAAATGCAACAAAGGGATCAGCTGAATGAAACTTAGTCTGTTGACCTTTTTATGATTGCACAGTTGTTCTCTCAAATATGGTTTGAAGGGGCAGCAGAGATCAGGAAGGGAGGCAGTAGATGTCTTGGATCATACTGAGGCAAAATAAATACATTTCAAATTTTTGAACATTGGGTAATTTCTTTAACAGCCTTTAGCATAAACTTTTCTGTTCCATGTTTCATCTTGCTTATTTTCACTGATGGATATACAATGTAGGTTTTACTGGCCTACATGAAGAATGAAATATATTTCTTAAAATATGAGTAAATTACAATTCCACTTCACAAAATGTGGTACCCTTTAATGAATTTCCTTTGCACCTTTTTTTCACATGCAAAACTTAGTAAGTATAGGTGTACTGTAAAATTTGGATGCCCAGGAGGTGGTAGGAGTTTCTGCTGTCAAAGCACATGAAAGACTATGTTAATCTGTTTCGACTTTTAGTTAAAATGTCACAGACTCTGGGATTTTCTGCCAACTCTGATCTTTGATGAAAAGGCTTATAGAAGAGTTGAGAAGAGTTTCTTCTTTTAAATTTGCATGTCTATTACATTAATCTCAATTAATGCTCCTATGTATTTTTAGGCTGTGGATGGGGTCTTCAAAAGTGCCTTAGAAGCTTAGGCACCCTAGTCCCACCAAAAAGCAGAGTAACATGTCTTTGGGCAGCTAATATACATTTCTGAGAGGCAAAGGTGAGAGGAACTCAAGGAATAGTCTTGGGAAAAAAGGATAAAAACCTTTTGCAGATCTCAGTCTTTCCCACTGTATGTCAGGGTTCAGCTGCAGACTTAGGCGTGAGGCTGGGTCTCAAGATGCCTCATTTTCTGCCCCAGCTGTCCTTTCTGAGTCACTTCTTTCCACAGCCCTGCTGCCCAGCTGCTTACCACAAATACAGTATCCATATTTATGGGAGACACATCAGAACTGCTGGAAAGCCACATATACTTCCAGAGCTACAAGTGCTTGCTTGGATCTTGGATCACCAAAAATTTTAAGAATAAATTAATCAGATACCATCTCTGACTGGGTTCTCTGACACTGAATTATTATGTTGTCTCTTATGAATATCCTCTTTGTCACACTTCCTCCCAGCTAGCTTTGGATGTGGACAACATCTGTATATCTGAGTATATATGAGTCCCAACAAAGTGCTGTGCCTCTGGTCTTTCTGCTCTTTATAAAGCTGCGTTGTGGTGAAATGATATGAATGAATTTGTTCCCAGAGGGATGAGAAGAAAGTAGAGTTTTGTAACATCACAGAAACACCATCATCAATGTGTCTAGTATACCAAAATATGAAAGGATATCTTTTTAAGGGTAAAATAAAGAAAATAAAAGCATGGTCCTGTTATCATTCTTGTCACAGCTGACTTGCAGTCTTCTGTAGTCTCTGTTGGGAAATTACAGATGCTCCTTGATTAGTTTTTTTTGTCTCTTTCTGTTTATAAGATAAATGTGCAGTTTTGATTAGTAATTTCAAATTAAACTTTCACTGCTATCATTCTCAAGTCAATTTTTCCTTATTATCCTGTTTTCTTCCTTGGGAAGAGCAGAGGTTAGAAACAGGTTTGGTTAGTAGTGGTAGTTGTAAATATTTATGTAACATCAATCTCTAGAGGATTTTTCACAATCGCATAGAGCATAATGTGCTTCTGACCTTTATACAGTTTCTCAGGAAATCAATCCCTTGAAGCAAGAAAATAGAGAGGGAGCTTTCTCCCCAGCTTCAAGGACAAGTTCTGGTTTCAGCCTCAGTGTTTCTTACGCAGGCTGTTTCTGCTAGGCCAGAAGAGATGTTTACTCCTTGGGGAGAGATGTGTCTAGAAGTCCATAACAGGATGTCACAGCAACATAGACTGCTCAGAACAACACAGTTTTTGTTTAGCTGACTACAATATTTTGAGATCCCTAGACTAGAACAACGAGGATCCTTTCCCATTATGGTCTATGGCTTCAGAAAAATTCCAGGATGTTATTTTTCTTTCAGTATATGACTGATGATATATTGTCTTACAGCTGATATCCCAAGTCAGTTTAGAGCTGAAATCTGTTAGCCTAGAAGAGTTTCAGGGGGATGTCATCAATGTAGCTAAATATCTGCAGGGAAGGTGTGGAGAGGATGGAGTCAGGTTCTTTTTCAGTGGTGCTCTGTGATAGGGAAAGAGGTAATGGCCACAAACTGAAACACCAAGAAACACTTTTTCACTATCCTCCTCCTAGTAGTCCACTGTACACAGCCGTCCCCTCTCTTTAGACTGTCTCCAGTAACATCGAGGTTGCATTGATGGTAGACCTTCCTGCAATTATGTAGATGCTAATTGTTTTTGATCTCACAGTCAGAAATGTGCTTTATAAGAAGGGTGGTACAGAGCAAATACAATTATTTGGGGGAGGGGGGTGTCTCATCCATATGTTAGATACCATTCCAAAAACATTCAATGATGTTCAGCTTTTCAGGTCGGTGTAGCCTCCTGTCAGTGTTATGTATCTGCCTGCAAGTTCCAGAAGGATTTGGTGCTTCATCTCTGACATGCTTCAGGTAAGGTAAACCTCATTTTGGTTTATCTTTTCTAAAGTAGAGGCATACATTGGTATGGGTGGCTACTTACCAATTGAATTAGGCAAAATTTTCATGTATTGAGGTCTTAAAAATACAAGTTTGTCACTCATGTAAATAAATATTCTGTCTGATGAAAAAGATGGATACGATAAACAAATGGTCATTTTCAGTACTGTTATGCCATGGCCTAGGGAACTGTGTGCACTGATAGTGTCTCCCAGTAGTCCTGGCTATGGTAGTATCAGGGCGGATAATTTTTGTGATTGCCTCTGAGCATCGTTTTGGTCTTAGAAAGTTTTTAGGACTTTTTTGGGGTTTTTTTGAGGTTTTGTTTGTTTGTTTGTTTGGGGGTTCTGTTTGGTTGGGTTTTTTGGGGTTTTTTTTGCTCATGTTTTTTGAATATCTCAAATAAGCATATTGAAACTTAGAGTTGAAATGAAGTTGGGTCTGAAATCTGGGCAGCTGTCACACCAGATTGTCCTGGGCAGAGATTCAGAGGTTTCTCAGAAAGATGTGTGACTACAATGGTACAATATCTATGCCCTGAAAAATCTTTGTTTCTCAGGACTGAGATTTAACCAGATGTTTAGGGCAGGATTTTTTTCAGAGAGAAACTGATAAACCTTTAAGCTAGTACTAAATAGGTAGAGAGGATCTCTGGTACCTCTTAAATTAATGTGTGTTGCAGTAAGAGCCACTGAAAAGCTGTCACTGTTGGGTCTCCCCATGGATTCTCTTGAGATCCAGCATCTCTGGATGTTATTGCTATTTGTTCCATGATAGTTGCCTTTGGAATTCAGAACAAAATGTTTCAACTGAGCAATGTGTTGAAAGCACAAGGATTGAATCTGAGGATACATTTTGATGTGACATTAAATTAATGACAGTTAGTAGCCACGAGAGAGTGTACCACATAATGTTCTTGTTATGACTCTGGACTTAAACTTCTGAAGTTTAGAACCTGTCCCAGAATTTCTTTATGATTTCACAAATAAGGACATTTACCAATCTATCAGCATCACACCTCTATAATCTCTAATTCTCAGGAAAATGGTACAATATTTCCTGCTATGCATAGAGTAGCTAACAGAGGAATTCACTGAATCCAGAAAATAAAAGAGCTAACCAAGCCAGTAAAAAAAAGCCAAAACAACACAAACAGGTGAACCCCACTTTTAATCATAGTGAAGTACCTTTGTCTGGACTAGGTCCAAATGTTAGGTGTAAAGCCAGTGCTTTGTCTTAAAAAAAAATGGAATTAAGTGTTTGGGACTGGTATCTGGGAAGGAGGGATCTGTTTTCAAGTCTTTTGTCTGACACAGGTAGGGCAGGCCAGCAGTATGACATGATTGCCACCTGCTTAAGGTTCATGGGCAGGCCATCACTCTTTAAGCTGTTTCACTGCTCATAAATTACTAACTTGGCTGTGAGAACTATTAACTATCCTCTCTCTTGCTTCATGAATCACTACATGTGTAAATTTTTATGTGGATTTAGTCCTTAGGGAATTGCTGCGATAGGAAGCAAAAGAATATCCAGTTCGGACAGCAGTAGCCAGTGGTGTGAAGAATTGCCATCCCAGGTGTCACCGAGTTAGCTTTCCTGAGTTTAGATTCTTAGTTCTCAGGCAGTGTAAGATCATCTTGGTGTTAGATGGACTTGTCCCATAGTGGAGCCCTTAGCCCTAAAAATGGTAAACGTGTTCCCCATATAATGTATGACAATAGTTAGAGACATTTTTTACCAAGGAGTTGTCCATGTGAGCTTGCAAAACAAGCAGACGGGAAAACATCAAACAATAGATACAGAAATAGCTGACTGGCATTTCCACACTGAATTTAACCACAATTTCTTTGGCAAGCACCTTCCTGCAACTTTTCTGTTTGTAGAAACCCAACAGAGACACCTCAAAACGGTCAGCAGCTAAATGGTTAGGGAAGTCATTTAGGTTAAAGCAATGCATGTTCAAATTTCTGTGTGATTAAAATAGAAGGATTTAAATCTGCATGATAGTAAAGGCGCCAGGCTAAATGGAAGCTGGTCTTTCTCAGTCTTCTTTGCTAAATACTTGTTGTGAGGATAGAGAGCCAGTGGTTCAATCTGTTGCTCACTTGTGAAGGTATGGGAGTTGTGAAAAGGTGACATTTAGGATCCGTTCCTGTGAATGTTAAATAGTTGCACAAAGTGTGACAAGTGTAGTGGTAGGGACTGAAAAAGATTTAACTCAAGGTACATAAGCAAACTCCAGGTGAGGCAGAGCCTTCAAATCCTGTCCCCAGATCCCAAGTGATCACCTGCTGACTAGCTAGAGCAATTTTGAGAAGGTCACTAGCTCCTAACTAGAGCATGGAGGCACCTACAAAGCAGTTGCCACTTATTGGTGATGGAAAGAGATGGGGACAACTGAATGGTGATCAGAATCCAATTTTACTGTGGGCTATATAAGCTTATATACCATTCTAGGAAAGCTAGTAATTTTTTACTACAATGATTGGCTTAAACATCATACAAACACATTTTTTGCAGCATCTCTTCTACTTGACTCAATCTTCTTTCCTATCACCAGGCTTGATTCAATCTTCTTATAATCTTAAAAGCTCTGTCTGGTCCTGCCAAGGCATCCTGGCTATCAGATCTCTTATGCTAGTCAACTCCAAGGTACTTTCTGATTTCACCATAGCCACTGAAGAGCCCTGAGGATGCCAGCTACAATGCAGAACTGCAGAGCATAGTTAAGCTCTGCTAAGATCAGCTAGGTTACATCAGACCTGAATGATCTTAAATGATTTTAAAGGATATAGCTGCATATACAGCTAGAACAACTGTGCAGTGCCATTACACAAATAAATGACATGCAGAAATAAAGTCAGCCTGTGAGTGGGTGAGCAAGTTTCTCACCTATAATCTTCCTCACCATTTGCTTTGCGATAAAAGGGAGCTGTCAGAGACTGCCAATAGGAGCTATGGCTCCCAGCCTTGCCCTCCCTTATCATATTTCTGAGCAAAGCCAGCTGATGAAGCAGCATCTGCTGTGACTCAGTCAGAGACCTGCAGAGCAACCTGTCTAACAGACACAGGCAGTAACTTTCAAGTTTGCAGCCCTCAGTACCCTCACTCAGATGGGCATGGGAGGGTTACTTATTAAAGGATTTGTCTGATCCACTTTTAGAATAAGATGCGTTTCCCCTAATAGTGTGTATGTCCTGCAATTGGTTTTACAGGAGGCTCCAGCATTGTACACATTCAGATGACAGATGAATCACATCCTAGAGGTCTTTACCCAACCTGCAACTAGGTTTCTTAGCAGTCTTCTGTGTGGATGCTAATAAAGCAATCACTTTTGCTTTTATTTTAGGTCAGTTTCACATTTTGGTATTCAGGCACTTGGCAGCTGTGTAATGTTTGGTTTGCAAACACTCCCAGGGAAGGGCTCAATCCAAGCCAATTATTTTCTCTACAAAGAGATAAAAACTCAAACATTTTTCTTTACTCTCACATTTTGTAAAACATATTTTTGTTTTTCAAAAAAAAAAACCCAAAAAACGCCTAGGCTCAGTTCCTATACCCTTCATATTTTTAAAGATCTCCTCTTTCCACACTTCACTCAGGATTATTGTGTGGTCCTGTGCTCGATTTTTATGGAGGTAGAAGTATATTTAACTCTTCTTTAGCAGCCCAGACATTTTAGAAGCTGGGAAAGGCATAGACACAGCCACCCTGTGCATCACAGGCACATGGACTAAGGCTGACCTATTGCTGCCTAAGCTGATGTGTCTGAATGATGCACAGCAGCTCTTTGGAGAAGCTGGCTTTGGTATAAACCCAGCAGATTTCCTAGGAAAGGTGCTCCCTTCCAGGTGCTGTGCTGCACTGGGACTCCCACACTTTCTGCTGCTCTGCTGCTGGATTAGGTACCTCTATGCCTGTGCTTTGCTGGGTGATGTAGATGTGCCAGCAGCCACCCTGTAGCATTGCTGTCACCCCTGCTTTGTTGCCATTGCAGTGGAGAGTGCTATTTTGAGGAGCCTCCAAAGAGAAATCACAGGGAGTGTTTAAAGCCAGCACTGTCTCTGTTTATAAAAGCCAGGTCTCACTTCAGTTGTTTTCCCACTGAAAAGTTGTCCATTAAACTGCCAATCCAGTCTTCATGCTTCCTCCCACTCATGAAAGTCTAGATCAAGATTATCTACTTCCAAAATAATGGAAGAATACTAAATATATGCCAGATACTTGATGGGATAAATGAGCACATTGTGATTAAAGGAAGTGAATCATATCTACATACATATCTACACATCTACAATGTAAATTTGTAGAAACTTACCTCAGCCAAAAATATATGCCTACAGTCATATTTTCAATTGGAATTGAAAGCTAACTAATAAATGTGAGTGATTTAGGTAGCAGGTCAGTCAGGCTTGTCCAGTCTTTATCATGCTGGAGGCCTTGGCTCCTCCCAGGTAGGAGCTCTGGGCTTTTTCCACTTAAGCCCCAAGTCTCATAGTGGTGTCTTTCACATTCCTGGTGCAAGAGGGACCCCTTTGATTTCCACTTCCACTTCTCCTTTTCTGCACACACAGCAGCTGCTACATCCACTGAAGGAAGAGAGACTCCCTGTGATGCAAAACAGGAACTGAATCTGGACAAGACCACTTACCTGTTTGAAATAGTTTGAGCAGTCTGTGCTGTTGCTCAAGAAATGTTTCATCTGGGATGTTCACAGTCTCATTTGCACAGTTAACACAAATATAGGGGTGCTTGTAAGGCAGCCAAAGAGTAGCTTTCAGCTCATTGATGAGGCCATCTGTATCCTGAGCTGTTTCTCTTTTTTAATAAAATGGTTTTAAATTAAGTATTTATCTGATAATATAATTGAATGCTCCACTGTTCAGAAGCTGGACAAACCTGTCTTTTATTTGGTTTCTCCAGCCTCTCTGAAAGCAGAGATACAAGATAGAGTATATTTGTTC